GGAGAGAAAAAAGGGAGAGGAGATGGCTGGCAAAGCCCCAGAATGGCTTATTTACCCTTGAGTAAAAACTTAGATTTGTTGAGGAGATTCCATAAATTTAGCAGAACTCCCAAAATGTCCAGATGTTTTGGAGCAGATGAGTAATGCTCTCTTTCTGAAAGCTTACTGAATTTTTTATTATCTTATGCACTGTTTGCGTGGGTAGGTCTTCTGAACAAATCGCAGTAAATAGCAGTCCCAGGAACCGCCACAGGTACTCTCACATAGCGAGGGAGGACAACTGGAGACGCTCAGCTCATGATTTTAGGGCCTCTTAAGAATGGCTGGAAGTGGAGTGTGCTGTTAAACACTCAGAAAGCAATCACTGACTTTAGACACAGCCAGGATAGGCAGTGGGGCTGATGCATTTTTGGGATGCAGACCTCATGAACTTCAAGGGGAACTACATGGACGCGGTACAAACTCAGAATTAAACCAGAAATCGAGTGAGCCATCTCTGCAGAACTGAGGCTGCAGTTTTTGCAGATTGGAAATACTTTCCTCTCCATGGTAATTCTTTAGTAATGCTGTGCCACTTAGGCTAATTTAAACCGGAAGAAAAAGATTTGCCTATGACAGCTTTGTCTCAGTAGGACAGCAGGACCAAATCTATGTCTTTACCTTGTTTTTTGTCCAGAGGGCTGGAGGGCTTACACTTTCATTTGATTAAACTCTGTATTGTGAGATTCCCTCTATGCCTAAAATAGAAAACGCCACCGACACCGGGAATGCTGACAAGCCTGCAGGGCCTCTCCCGTGGCAGCTCTCCGTGTTCATCCTCTCTGCTTGAACTAAACCTGCATCGTCTTTCATTTATCTATATTAATACGGCTGGGTTAGTACCAGGTGTATGTATTTAAAAGATTGAACTGGCTTCCTTGGCTGTATAACGAATGCATGAATATTTTGTGGTTTTGCTTCTGGATTTTCATTTCTCCTCTTCTTGCTTACGTTGCATGCTATCTAAAGACTTCATTTATTTGAACGCTTAATCTTCATTTGCATATATGTTCTTTAGTGATAAAAAAGAGCCTATTTTGAATCTAGTTTTGAGTGTGTGTATATATAAGTTCACTATCTGTGAAAGCACATCCATGTTTTTCCACAGCTACACCCCCATGCACGTATATATGTATATACATATATATCTGTGTACAGTCAAAGTGAGATTTATTTCACTTGTGAAAGATCATTGACAAAAGTTATGTGACCACAGCTCCCATTTACAGCCCTACCTTGCCAGGACCACGGTGGCTCTGCTCAGCCCTCGTGGCTCAGCCCGTAGGTGTGACAGAGCCTCCCTCACCCCAAACCTGGCTCTCCCTGCACTCACATACTGCCATCCTTGCAGCTAAGTCAGCCTGAGTGGCTCCAAGCCCAGTGGCAACCTAGCTCCAGCACGAATCTTGCCCAGGACGCAGCGACAGGATTTGTCACTGCTTTATGTTAAAGTACAGATGCAGGATGAGGAGATGGCACCAGCATCCACCACATGCCACCAGGTAGGAAAGTGGCATGGGAGAGGCAGAGCTGCTCAAATACAGCCCTCCCCACCAAGCCATACACCTAGCTATCTCGAAGCAGGTAGTTTTTGCTCATCACATTAAGGTTTGCTTCCACGCGCTGAAGAAAATGCCAACTTGCATACAACATGAAGAGAAACTCAGGACTCATATGGCAGAAGAGACTTTTGAGGAGACACAACAGCTCTATGGCTCAAGCAGCCAGCATGTTACCCAAGTTAAAACTAATCTGGGGCTCTGATCACTGCTTGGGAGGGTTATGTTAAAGAGCTGTTGGGTCAAACTGAGAGACCATCCTGTAAGGAGAGGCAGGAAAGCAGCCCTCCTGCCAGCTGTGCATTCAGCTTCATCTTCACTACGTTATCACTGACAGCTCGCCCATGCTCACGTCATCGTGGATCATGCTAGGGTATCTGACATTTTTAGCAGCACCTATAACTCAGCTGCCCATTACTTTCTGTTGGTATCGTTTAGCTTCTATCCTCACAGATAGCTTCTAGCTGCTAATATATACTAACAATTTTCACAGTCCTCTGCTTTCCATCTGCTGTAGTTTCACTGCTGGTTTTTTGTCTTACTTCCGCTACGATCGCAGCTTGTTTTTGTTGAAGTCACATACTTCCCTGTCCTTACTGTGAATTTTTGGCTTTTCAGATGTTGAATAAAGTTCTCTAAATGGTTGTAAGTTCATCATCACATTTCACTGCATTTAGATGTTCATGTTTAGATGTTTTAGATGTTTTAAAGTTCTCTAAATGGTTCTAAGTTCATCATCACATTTCACTGCATTTCTTCACTACGTTATCACTGACAGCTCGCCCATGCTCACGTCATCGTGGATCATGCTAGGGTATCTGACATTTTTAGCAGCACCTATAACTCAGCTGCCCATTACTTTCTGTTGGTATCGTTTAGCTTCTATCCTCACAGATAGCTTCTAGCTGCTAATATATACTAACAATTTTCACAGTCCTCTGCTTTCCATCTGCTGTAGTTTCACTGCTGGTTTTTTGTCTTACTTCCGCTACGATCGCAGCTTGTTTTTGTTGAAGTCACATACTTCCCTGTCCTTACTGTGAATTTTTGGCTTTTCAGATGTTGAATAAAGTTCTCTAAATGGTTGTAAGTTCATCATCACATTTCACTGCATTCCAGTTCCTTCTCACAGATGGCTCATTTCATAACGGTTTTCAGTTTTCTGAAACTGGCCGTTTCAGAGATACAGGCACGGAGACGGTTGTTGGGAATTTTATGCTCTTCGTATACAACAACTGTCATCCCGTGATGATCTCCTGTACCTCAGTGGTTTTTAACTTTCAGTTGCGTGGTCAGTTCGCCTTCATCTGCTGATGTAGCACTCAGGACGAGTGCTGCTGGCAACGCTTTTTGCATTACAAAATGTCATTTAGAAATTTTTAAAAAAGGTGACATTTGAGCATTGCGAGCGTGAGCCCTCCAGCACCTGCTGCTCGCTTAGCAGCCTGCCTGGGAGCTCCCCTTTGCAGAGAGGTGGGGGAGCAGCCGACCTTTTCAGTTTCTTGTGCCGTTTCCCAGCCGCACCGGAGCAGACACCAGGTGCTTCCTGACCGCCTGTGTTGTTACTTAGGTCTATTACCCATCCGCGTGCCTCAGCGGTACCGGACCCAGAAACAGGCAGTGCACGTTTATTGCAGAGCGCACGGCCCGCTGCTCTTCGCCCAGGCGACCCTCCCCAAGCCCCCGGCAGCGCTTCGCGCGTTCGAGTTGCGGGCATCCGCTGGCTTTCAGCAGCAGCAAGGCCACACGCGTATCCATAAAGGAGCAACTCCAGTCCTCTGCGTTTATTCATCAGGCGGGTATCACCTCTGTCTGCTAACTAAAAAAAAAATCCTCTCTTCCAGTGCCTTGTGGCTCCACCTCAGGTGGAGCTGATTCAAACTTTTAATTCATTGCAGGGCTAAAGCCTTTGTGCTTACCCCTTCGGAGGGGTTTCAGGCTCGCCTTGGGACCCCTGCACGGTGAGTGGCGGCTGGCAGGGAGCAGCGCTAGTCGGCCATCCCCGGCGGTCGGGAGCTGGCGAAAGAGAAGCACCGAGGAAGCTGCAGCAGTCAGTAGAAATCATGCTCCTTTTCTTTTCCTTTTCTTTAGGCTCATAAGAGAAATGAAGAGCGCTAAGTGGGAAAGATGGACACTGAACGCTGCTAGAAAAACACAAACTACTTTCCCGAAAGTGGTGATTCTGACTGGCGGTTATTGGTGATTAGAAAAAAAGGGGCATGGGATGTCAAAGAGATCAGGTGTATAACGGCACTGAGGCTCGTTCAAAGATAAACGGCAGCAAGATGATTTCCTGCGGCAGATCTGGTCTGCAGGCAGTGAAAACAAACCGCTATAGTTAGAGAATTTTTTTTACTGAAACGAAAATTCAAACAGCTAAACTGTGTATGCATATTCACGCATACAAATATATCAACTTTCCTTTCTCATTTGACATGATTGCAAAAGAAATTCCCATCCTGCCTTTCCACACCCACACGCGTACGGGAAGAAGAAATTTAAAGGTTCCTTGAGGCTGTGTATCCACCGCGACACTGCTGAGTACTCAAAGTACTTCTTTGATGAGATAGGAGCGCTATGCAATTTAGTGGTTGAAGACTTTAAGCTTAAATGTTAAAAGCTGTACTTCATATAACGTTTCACACTGACTGGGAATTCACCTTGCCTATCTTTGGCCAAGATTTTGTGCTGCTACTTGCTACACAACAGCTGCCCTTTACAATGGAATTAGATGCATTTAACTAGTGCTACATAAAAGTCAAAGAGTGCTGGGGAATCCCGAAAAAAAAAGCATGGAGGAACTTCCTGCCTCAGCAGATACGGATGCAATTGTTTGCTATTAATATTGACTTTATTGCTATGGGCAATAAATCTTAAGGGAGCTAGGAAGTGTGGGATGTAAAATACGCAGGTATAAATCCAACAGCTTTGTAACGCATAACAGAAAAGAACAGAAAATACACAGCTGTGAAAAACCCACTTTTTACTCAGCCCTGACAGTCTCTTTTTAGAGAAGACCTTGTTGGCTCAGGAGAGTGAGCCTCATCCCACCACCTGCCTTTTGGCAGCGAGCACCCTCAGCCTCCGGGCAGGGGAGAAGGGGCCCCGGCCGCAGCACGTGCTGCGTTGCGCCAGCGCCGCCGGCACCGACCTCCCGGGGAGAGGCCCCCTTCCCAAAAAAAAACTGCCCCGCTCCGGCCGGAGTTTCCGAGCCGGACGCAGCCCAGAGCTGGAGGGTGAGCCAGCCCACGGGGGGATGAAGCCTCAGTCGCTCACGGATGCCCCACCTAGGACAGCTCTGGACCCCAAATCTAACCCATTTCAGGATATTCCTTCCTTTTGTGCAAAAGCGTGAAGGAGGCATCCAGGAATCCACAAGACCAGCCACGCAGGGATACGCACCTCTAATTCCTCTGCTCTGCCACCTGGCTGCTCTACGTTGGGATCGCTGGTTTAGGGAGCGCTCGAGCGGGCTGGTGTTGGCCTCCAGAGGTTCACGTGCTCCTGCCAGAGAGAGACAGGGACCATTCAGACATCACTTTTTGTAATAGCACTTAGTCACCCAGAGCCTGGCATAGGGAGCACAGGAAGACGCCGCAGCCCCAGCCAGGGAGCAAACCCCGCCACCCCTGCATCCCCGGAGCGCCCGAGCGGTTCGTGCAGCGCTCGGTGAGTCCTCGGCTCCGTGCAGAGCTGCGGGGCGCCCGCCCAGGGCGCCGGGCCTGGAGGTGCCCGAGGTG